AATTCTGACTCATGCTGAAACATGGATGACCCTTTTGGACATTATACTAAACAAAATAAGCCAGTCACAAAAAGGATAAATACTCTTATTATCTCATTTACATGAGGTACCTAGAGTAGTCAAATTCATAGAGACAGAAATAGAATGGAGGTTGCTAGAGGCTGGGGGAGGGAGAATGGGGAGTTTTTTAGTGGGTATAGAGTTTCAGTTTTGCAAGATGAAAAGAATTCTGGAGACTAGATCCACAACAATGTTGAGTGTACTTAACACTACTGAATTGTACTTTAAAATGATTAAGATGGTAAATTTTATGTTCATTTTGCCACAATTAAAAATAAAATATATTCATCTAGAATATCTAAAGAGTTCCCCAAACTCAATTTCAACAAGGACATAAGCAATTCAATAGAAAAAAATGGGAAAATTTTAATAGATTTGAACAGATAACTTCCCCAAAGAAGATATGTAGATGGAAAACACATGAAAAGATGTTCAACATGATTAATCTGTATTGAAATGCATATTAGAACATCAGTAAAATACCATAGGGCTTCCCTGATGGCTCAGATGGTAAAGAATCTGCCTGCAATGTGGGAGATCTGGATTCCACCCTTGGGTGGGGAAGATCCCCTGGAGAAGGGAATGGGTACCCACTCCCGTATTCTGGCCTGGAGGATTCCATGGACAGAGGAGCCTGGGGGCTTGGGGGTGGGCTACAGTCTATGGGGTAGAAAAGAGTTGGACATGACTGAGTGAGTAACACTTTCACTTCAATTTTTATGCGCCTACTAGAATGTCTAAGATAAAAAAAGACTGACTACACTAAGTGCTGGTGAGATGTGTGTGTATGTGTGTGTGTGTGTGCACGTGTGCACGCACGCTTAGTCGCTGTTGTGTCTGACTCTTTGCGACCCTGTGGACTGTAGCCCACCAGGCTCCTCTGTCCATGGGGATTCTCCAGGCAAGAATACTGGAGTGGGTTGTCATGCCCTCCTCCAGAGGATTTTCCCAACCCAGGGATCGAACCCAGGTCTCCTGGATTGCAGGGGAATTCTTTATCATCTGTGCCACCAGGGATGAGGAGATGGTACAAAAGAAACTCTCACACACTTCTGGAGTGGCTATAAAATGGCTACAGCCATTTTGGAAAATGGTTTAGTGGTGTAAAAATTTTAAATTTATCCAGTCATTCTGGTCTAAGGGAAAAGAAAGTATGTGCACACAAAAAGACTTTTGCATCAGTGTTGATAGTGGCTGGAAATAACCCAAATGTTCAACCCAGATGAATGGATAAACTATGGTTGATTCATCTAGTAATGGAATCTATGGCAATGAAAAGTGTTGATACATGCTACAACATGCACGAATCTTGAAGTAATTATGCTGAGTGAAAAGAGCCAGATAAAAAAATTAAGTCAAGAAATCTCAAACTAATCTATAGTGACAGAAAGCAGATCAGTGGTTGCCTGGGCATGGAGGTAGGGAGGAAGTGAGGAGATAGAAAAGAGCAGGAGAAATCCTGTGGGGGTGATGGGTGTGTTAATTATTTTGATTGTGGTTTCACATATGTCTAAGCCAATAGAAGTGTACACTTTAAATATGAGTCGTTTACAGATGATTATATCCAGAAGCTGGTAAGACTGTATTAATTCCCTGGTGGTCCAGGGGTTAGGACTCTCACACTTTCAGTGAAGAGGCTCAGGTTCCGTCCCTGCTCAGGAAACTGAAATTCTGCAAGCCTTGTGGTGTGGCCGAGAAAAAAGAAAAATCACTGAGGGAAAACCTATAATACTTCAATATAAAAAGTTAAAAAAAATCGGGGCTTATCTGGTGATCCAATGGTGAAGAATCTGCCTTCCAATGCAAGGGATACTGGTTTGATCCTTGCTCCAGAACGATTCCACATGCTGTGCAGCAACTAAGCCCGTGTGCCACAGCTTCTGAGCCTGTGTTCTAGAGCCTGGGAGCCACGGCAACCCAGCCCACGTGCGGTAGTGTGGTCGGTGACAAGAGAAGCCGCTGCGACGAGAAGCCTGCACTCTGCAAGTGGAGAGCAGCCCCTGCGCGCCCCAGCTAGAGAAAGCCATTGCGCAGGATTGAAGATCCAGCACAGCCAATAACATAAAGCTTAAAAAATGGTACCAGTGCTTGTCGAATGACTGTGAAAAAGCTGTAGCACATCAAGTCTTTTGAAAGCTGTTTGAGAGAGGTCTGTTTCTCCACACCCTGGTGATGATGGGTGTAGTAAATACTGATGACTCTTCTAAGTCCAAGTGGTGCGATATGGTTGTTCGATTCGTATTCCTGAGTATGAGTCCAGTTCAGTGTCTTTTCAGAGATTGGCAAGACATCTTTCTTTCTTCTTTGAAGTGCCTGCTTCATAAACTCTGCTGCCTTACCCCCTTCAGATGTTTGCTTGGACGTCACCTCAGAGCAGTTTTCCTGACCCCACTGTGTAAAATCGCAGCCCGCTCCCACTACCTCAGTTCAGTTCAGTCTCAGTCGTGTCCGACTCTTTGCGACCGCATGGACTGCAGCACACCAGGTTCCTCTGTCCATCACCAACTCCTGAATCTTACTCAAACTCGTGTCCATCCCACTGCCTACTCCTGCTTTATTTTCCCCTGTAGGAATTTATCACCATCTGACATACCATTCAGTTTACTTCTTTAGTCTATTTAACATCTAACTCCCCTCACTAAAACCTCAATGCTTCGAAGGAAGGGATTTTGTCTTTTATTCATTACTAAATCCCTAATACCTAGGACATACCTGGCACATCAGGGGCACTGAGTACATTTCTTGAATGAATGATTGCTTTTCCCTTTTGGGCTGTTTCTTTTTCTTGTTGATTTAAGAACTCTGTATATGTTAGGAAGATATAACACTTTATCATAAGAGCTGCACATATTTTTCCATATTGACGCTTGTCTTACTTTATCATTAAGAGACTGAAATTAATTCATTTATTTTTGGCTTTGCTGGGTCTTCCTTGCTGTGCATGAACTTTCTCTAGTTGCAGCAAGTAGGGGAAAGTGAAAGTCAGTCCTGTCCAACTCTTTGCAACCCCATGGAGCAAGTAGGGGGCTACTCTCTAATTTCAGTTCACAGGCTTCTCATTGTGGGGCTTATCTTGTTGAAGAGAACACTCGGGCTTCAGTAGTTGCCCCACATGCGCTTAGTTGCCACAAGGAATATGGAATCCTTCCAGACCAGGGACTGAACCCATGTCCCCTGCATTGGCAGGCAGATTCCCAACCAGTGGATCACCAGGGAAGTCAAGAGACTGAAAATTTTATGTAGTTATACATCTGTCTTATCTTTCATAGCTTCTGGGCCTTCTGTCTTCCTTCTCCAAGATTATAAATGTTTTTTTCTATATATTTTTCTTTCAATCCCATAGGTTTTTGCCCTTATAGAGCTTTAATTCATTTAGAATTAATTTTCAGTCAGATATTAGATAGATCTTTTTTTCTTCCAAATGATAGCCAATGGTCTATTTTTCTTAACACATGGCTTGTGTTTTACGTTGTCTTCCTAATCAAACTTTCAAAGGGCTGTCTGGTATTCTTTTTATCTGGAAAAAAAATTTTTCCGCTGTGCAACTAAGTCATATTTTAAAAAGTGAAAATGTTAGTCGCTCAGTTGTGTCCAATTCTTTTTGATCCCATGGACTGTAGCCCACCAGGCTCCTCTGTCCATGGAATTCTCCAGGCCAGAATACTGGAGTTGGTAACCATTACCTTCTCCAGGGCATCTTCCCAACCTAGGGATTGAACCTGGGTCTCTCAGGCAGATCTTTTTTTACCGTTTGAGCCACCAGCAATTAAGTCAACATTTATTCTTTTTTTTTTCATTTATTTTTATTAGTTGGAGGCTAATTATTTTACAATATTGTAGTGGTTTTTGCCATATACTGACATGAATCAGCCATGGATTTACATGTGTTCCATCCTGAACCCCTCTCCCACCTCCCTCCCCATTATTCATTTCTTATATTTCATGTAAAGGAATGTAACCTTTGTACTGTGCGGAGCCCTTTAGTACAGTGCCTAGCACACAGTGGGAGCGGAAACTGTGTGGTGAGTGAATAAAGGAACAGATGTCTGTGTGCCTGGCCCTTGGGGCAGTGAAGTCTTGTTGGGCAGCAGCCGAGAGCTGGAGGAGATTTCAAGAGTATACAGTCCAGTGACAAAGTTTTCACCGATCTGTGGAGACATTAAAAAATAAGGACAATTAGCACATAAATACGCATATGTATGGCTGCCAACTTTTTTCTTGGGAAGGATCCTGAACTTTTGTTTTTCTGTTGTTCTGATACTATGGTAAATATCATATTCATGAAATCCAAAAATCAAGGAATCACTGAATTGTGGTCCTGCTGTTCCGTTCGGTATTTACTGAACCATCTGTTCAGTGTGACCACTCCTGTAGGTGTTAGGGGCTCAGCAGTGAAAAGACCAGCCAGGGAGGCCTGTATAGCTTAGCGAGGGGGTTGGGGTCTACATCCCCGATGCAGAAGATGGCAACCCACACCAGTATTCTTGCCTGGGAAATCCCACAGATAGAGGAGGCCGGGTGGGCTGCCTACAGTCCATGGGATCACACACTCAACCATCACCAGGACATCCTTGAAATGACAGCTCAGCAGCTCACTGCAGGTGTGGAATCCGTAAGGAAGAGGACCAGGTGACAGGTGTGTTTGCGTACTCGGAAGCTTGCCCCTCCTAACCTCCAGGCGACCTCGGTGCGCACGGTCTGCGCCGATCACCTGCGCGTCCTCAAACTTGACGCACTAGGTAGAGGTAGGTGCTGGGGGACGGGGGGTGGGTGGAGCAGAGGCGGGGCCTCGTTCTTGGCGTCCTCTCGCCCCGCCCACCGCGCCGGGCCGTCCGACGGTGGCAGGAGCAGGGGTGTCGCATGAACGGGGCGGGGCGGGGCAGTGCGGAACGCGCGCGCCTGCGGCTGAGTTTCTGGTCGGAGGCCTTTGCCCAGCGCCCCGCGTCCCTGAGGGGCGGCGGCGGCGGAGGCGGCGGTAGCGGGGGGGAGATCCGGAAGTCAACACCATGTCGAGTCTGCACAAGAGCCGGTGAGGAGGCACCGGGGCCGACCAGCCAGGCCACTGGTGGCCATGCTGTCCCTTTTGACCTGCGGGGGGCGGGGGGGATCAGGGATTTGATTCACGCCCCCACCCCCCACCCCTCCCCGGGCTGAAGGTTTTGGGCCCCCACTTTTCAGCCTCTTTGCTGTGGGCCTGAGTCGGGGCACGGAACGGGGACATCTCTCCTGCCCCTCGGTGTTGCCGCTTCTCTCTTTCTCCCCCGCACCCTGGATCCTTCCCCCTGGTGTCTTCCTCTTCTTGGGCTTTGATGCCCGATCCGGATGCACCCCCCACCCTTTTTCTCCCCCTTTGTTAACCCTTTGCCCCCAGTACCCTTCTCTATCCAAATGCTTCCGCTCCCACGTCCCCTTTTCTTACTAGAAATGCTAGAAAACGTAGATTCTCCAGTCTGTTCCCCCCACCCCCCACCCCCGGGGCCAAATCCTGCAGCGTTGGCTAATTTTGCTCATTCTTCACTTTTCCTCCAGTTTTTAAACCGTTTGTCCTTGCCTGCCCGCAGGCCTAGAGGTCTTCTAATGGTTTTATTTTTGAGTTTGGGATGCTGGGTGCAGATTACACAGGACCTTGTCCACAGATCAGATTACTCCTGATTCTAAGGGTTTTTGGAGTTCAGATAGACAGTGTGGTTTGGACCTGGTCAGCAGGAAGTGGCCAGTAAATGCCGCCTCAGTAAATGTTAGAATGTGTCTGATTTCATGGTGCTCATTTGAGAACCTTTAGACAAGAGTATCTATAGATTTCTGGACTTAGAGGAAACAGTGATCTGTAATTCTTCAAAGCTGCCCTTTAGCCAGGGTTTTGCCTGTGCCTTGCATATTTGTGTCCTGACGGGGAGGGAGGAACAGGTTGGAGACTGGGGGTGTAAGGGAGCTGTGGGCTTTAGGAGGGGTCGCTAAGCCTGTCATCTTGGGGTTTGTGTGTCATTTGCCTCTGTCTCCCTCCTAGGATTGCAGATTTCCAGGATGTCCTGAAGGAGCCCACAATTGCCTTGGAAAAGCTTCGGGAACTCAGTTTTAGTGGTAAGAGCCAACCCTCCATTTTCAGGGTTTTCCTGGAGCAGCCTTGTGATAAAGATGGAGGGGCAGCGAGCCAAGGCCACACCTGGCCAGTTCTGGGGACTGGCCTGCCTTTTGGGAACTTCTCCAGATTGTGTGGAGCTGAGCAACCAGGGCCGCCCCGGGCTGGCTTCACAGGGCAGGGGCGCCCTGAGTTAGCATGCCTGTAGGCCTTAGACTGGGCTTCCCTAGGGGCTCAGTGGTAACGAATTCACCTGCAGTGCAGGAGATGCGAGTTTGATCCCTGGGTTGGAAAGATGCCCTGGAGGAGGAAATGGCAACTCAGTATTCATGCCTGGAGAATCACATGGACAGAAGAGCCTGGTGGGCTGCAGTCCATTGGGTTGCAAAGATTTGGACATGACTTAGTGACTAAGTGCACATGCATGCACACACAGACCTTAGACCAGGTGCTCATTGGCCTGTAAATGATGCTGATTGCTTCCTGGGAGTAACTGGAGGGCAGAGGGGAGACTTCTTGAACAGAGGAGAGGTGTCTCCTCATTCCTTAGCAGGCTTCCTGGGTTGTAGAATTTGGTTAGCTACGGAGCGGTTCCTCATTCTCTCCGTGGCTTAGGATCAAAAGCCAACTCAGGTAATACTGAACTTTGGTTCATTGTAAAATTCCAGCCTTGAGTCACTCACTTTAAGGAGCTGAACCCCAGCAGTCTTTGACTTTGCCCTCCCTGGACTGGCTAACTTTTCAGGACAGAGACTCTTGCATGTCTTTAAAAATACCCCAGGATGTTCTGGTAGCTTCTTGTGACTTGGAACTTTGTCAGCAAGGACGCTTGAGTTGCCCCTTGCATACCCATGCAGATTCTGAGGTGAGGACACTAGCTACTGTTAACGGTAGCTAGGGAGACTGTAGCCACAGCTGCTTTAGCGAGCGTCCTGACAGTATTTCAGGAGAAGTTCATCTTTCCATTCAGGAGTGATGTTTAGGCCCTGAAGATCTTGAGGGGTTTCTGGGATCTGTGCTGAGCTGAAGAATCTGCCAGGCCCCAGGGGAGGCAGTCTGCGGCAGTGGCTACAAGCTGGGCTCTAGAGTCAGACCTGTATTGGAGTCCTTGATTGCTCTGTCTTTGTAGATGAGTTTCTTTATCTGTAAGATGGGGACAATGATGCTGATTTTCCTTACTTACTAGGGCTATAATAAGGATTAAGTGAAATTTTAAGTCTGTAAAACACAAAACACTGAACATTCAGAGCTTAGTTTATATTTCACAAATACTTACAGAATACCTGCCCTGGGCTAGGTAGTGGAACAGTCAGACAGATTTGGTCCTCATCTTTCTAGGGCTTTCCCCAGTATTAGGGATTACAGATGTTAAATAAATGTACAAATTATTTCATACATTCCCATTTGCGAGGGATGCCATGAAGATGTGATGGAGCCATTATTGTTTATGTCAAGGGCCCTGACTTTATTTGGGAAGAGGTGGTGTGGTTGGTCAAGGCTACTCTGAGGAAGAAATATCAAAGGTCAGAAGCTGTCATCCTCGAAAGAACATTCCAGACAGGGGTCACAGAGAAAGACATAGGATTAGCATCGTCTAGCAGTCTTTCTGGCAGCGAATGATTCTTGAGGAAGTACTTCTTGCCCGCTCCACTCCCTGCCGACTGGCTCTGAGGTGGCGGGCTGGGGGGCTCTGGGACTCTGCGGGGGTGTGACCTTTGCCTGCTGTGTCCACAGGCATCCCCTGTGAGGGCGGACTGCGGTGCCTCTGCTGGAAGGTGGGTGTGCCTGGGGTGGGGCTTCTGCTCTGCCGAGAGTCCCTGGGTTCCTGCATGGGCTGTACTCACCCCTGGCCCCTTCTTCCTATTTTCTGCCTTTCCTTGCTTGTCCCAGGAAGCTTTTCTGGGAAGTTCTGGGTTTTCTGTTTCTCTTGGCATCCCCTCAGGGATCCCCCTGGGGCTGGAATGCTTTGTGATGCCAGCAAAGCTCTCTGCTTCCTGATCCAGACATCTCAGTGGAGGTGATGCTGATTGGGACAGTAAAAGGCTATGCTTTGCCTAAAGCTTTTTGCTGAGGTGGGAGCAGAAGCCCAGTGTCCTGCTTCCCAACCCCTTTGAGCACAAGATTTTATCATCATTTGGGAGAGTCTGTGGGAGGGAAAGCAATAGAAAGGGCTGCTTCAGGATAAAGGACGAGGAAACCAGTGGGGAGAAGAGGGGAGGCTATCCCAGCCCGTGCCTGCGTTCCTGGGTTTTACCTAGCTTGTCGTGCCTTCTCTGGGCTTTATCAGACGTTTTCCTTGAGGCCTGTCAGCCTCCGTCTCCTTCAGGGGTTGGGCGGGGGGAGTCACCAGAGCTTTGCTTTTCTCTCTCTGTGTGCAGATTCTCTTGAACTACCTCCCTTTGGAGAGAGCCTCATGGACCTCCATCCTGGCCAAGCAGAGGTGAGACCCTGACACAGGGGAATGGCGGGAGGGCCTTTGTATTGGGCAGAGCAGGTGGTGTGAGTCCAACCCACTTCCTGTTGCTGCACTGCTCCGGGCTCATCCCTCTCTCCTCTCCTCTCCTCCAGGGAGCTGTATTCTCAGTTCCTGAGGGAAATGATCATCCAGCCTGGCATCGCCAAGGCTAACATGGGCGTGTCCAGGGAGGATGTGACCTTTGAGGACCATGTGAGTAGGGGGCCCGCAGTGGGGACTGAGGTGAGGCTACGGAGTGGGGCAGGGGAGAGCTGTGGGCTTTGGGGTGGGCGAGGTCCCTCAGCCCAGAGGCCAGGTGCCGCTGATCCTAGTTCCTTTTACCCCCCAGCCCCCCAGCACCTCGTTTCTCCGTTTGGCTTCTTAGCCGCCAAAGGCTGTTGAGTCTCCGTGCTCTCCCCAGTCTCCAGGCCCAGTCAAGACCACTGGGATGACTGGGATCCAGGAGTGCTGTGTGTGCAGTGCTGAGCCTAGTCCTCCGCACGTTGGCTCCTCAGCCCCCTTCCTCCAGGAAGCTTCTGTGATACTGTAGTTGAAGGGAGTCAGAGCAGGGCCGGGGTGAGGCTGCGTTTCTGCAGCCCAGAGGAAGCCTCATTCTCTCTGCAAATACCCAACTTCTCCCTGGTGCTTCGCAGTTGGGAAGTGGAGATGGATTGGACCCAGACTGATCTTCCAAGGACTGGAATTGGTAACTTAGAGTATTGATGAATTAGATTCGAAGAGACCTCACGATGCAATATTCATTCACTCAGCAAGCATTTAGTGAGCACCTGTTACACTCAGCGTTCTGGAGCCGTGGACAGGGAAGGGCAGAGTTCCTGCTGAGCAGGGAAGTGCCCAGAGCTGACCTGGGGCTTGGCTGTGGGATGTGGACGGGGACGGAGGTTTGGGAGGCTGCGGAGGCGGGCCTGTGCTGCCGCTCGACCAGCTCGCAGGCCATCTCAGCCGTAGCTGCGTCTCTGCTGGGAATGCTGGTTCGGGGCTACTGCTCAGGCCCCCGCAACTGAGGTCTGCCTGTGGGGTCCTAGCCGGCCAAGGATAGCGCGGCTCATTTTCCCCCGCAGCCTCTGAACCCCAACCCTGACAGCCGGTGGAACACATACTTCAGGGACAACGAGGTGCTGCTGCAGATCGACAAAGATGTCCGGTGAGCAGGGCTCTGGGGCGGGGAGCCGGCTCTGGGGCTTCTGGGGGTTTTCCGCTGCTTCTGCCCTTTTGCAGCCCAGCCCGGGCCCACAGGGAGGTGTCTGAGGAACTGCTGGGGAGCTGAGTCCCAGCCATAGGCACAGCAGGCCTGGCAAGGTGCGGGGGTGCGGGGTGCTGGCAGTGGCCTGAGTGCCCAGCTCTCCTCTCTCCCTGCCTTGATATCACTTGTAGCCCAGGCGACTATGGATTCATCTGCTCCTTCCTTCAGCGAATTCAGAGGCCTTGCTATGTGACAGGCTCAGTGCCAGGCTGGGGGGTTGAGCATGGAATAGACAGGGAGGGTCTCCTTCCTTAAGGAACTTAGAAGCTGAGGGGGAAGGTGTAAAGACAAGATGTTCAAGAAAATGTATCTTTCATGTCACTAACATTTGTGGTGACTGCTCTGAAGGCAGAGTTCAGGGTGCTTCAGGGCAGTTGGGACGTCTCGCCTGAGGAAGCAGCTGAGACTCTGCGGAGCCTGGGGGTTCGGGGGAAGGGAGGCTGTGGTGCCTCCCAGAGGAGGTCCTGAGCGCCTTCGGAGCTGGGCCCTCCGAGGAGCGCTGGGAAGGCCAGTGTGCCTGAGGCCCCACCGGAGGCAGGCGGGGGTCAGACCTTGGACTCGATCCCAGGGACGTGGGGCGGTCTCCCAAAGGGTTTAAGCAGAGGAGTGACAGGGTCAGAAAAGTGTTTTTTTTTTTCAAATTGAGAGCTATACCGTGTGCGCGCGCTGTTCCTCTTGGTAGGGAAGTGTGGCCAGCGGACTGTGCTGGCCTGCGGGGTGGGTGAGCCCGGCAGCCGGTGACTCTCCCACATGGCTGGGTGAGGAGCTGGGGGGGCCTGTCTGCAGTGGCCCGGTGGTCAGAACTTGGGTTCTAGAGTCTGTCCGTCCGCCTCCCTTTCCACCCCCGCTGCTTGTCAGCTGTGGTACCAGCTCTTCGCCGCCCGGGGCTACTCCTCCCCTGTGCGCACTGTGCCCAGGCCCCCCGCCTCCCAGACAGCCCCGGTGGGACCCCAGCCAGGGGGAGAGTGGGTCTCTTGCCACCTTCATTCTCAGGCTGGCATTGGGGAGCCTCTACCCACAAGGTGTTTCATCGCCCCGTTTTAAGTCAGGAACCACGTCTTGAACCCAGATCTGGGCAGAAAGGTTCTTAGCCTGGCAGTGACTGTAGTACGTTGTTCAGTGTTCCCGGAGGGTGAGTCTGCAGTGAGCTTCAGCTAAGAAGTCTGGACAAGTGTGTGTGTGCCGCGATACATACACTTTAAAAACTTTCACATTCTAGAGACTGTCTCCCCACTTGATTGTTTCTCTATCTCCTCAGCTGTAGTATTCCATTGTATAACTTATAACTTAATGAAGCCTCTTTTACCATTTTTAGCCTCAATACAAATAGTTCCTACTCTTGTACATATTATCTTTTCTATTTTTTTTTTTTTTGTTCATATTATCTTTTCGACATGGAAAGCTGTGGTTTAAAAGAAGAGTTAAGATTCTAAGGACACTTAAAAGTATGTGTGTGTGTCTATTTGTAAACATACACATGATATATGGGTATGCACGCGTACATGATGACCGCATTGCTTTTGAAATAAGCTGTTACTAACTGAAACACACACAGAAGGCTTTGGGGAGGCTGGGCCCCTGGCAGCAGAGGACTGAGACGCCTCAAACCCTCTCGCTGAGTAACAGTCCTCTCCTCTTCCCCCTTGCAGGAGGCTGTGTCCGGACATATCCTTCTTCCAGAGGGCCACCGAGTACCCCTGCCTCCTCATCCTGGATCCCCAGAATGAGTTCGAGACCCTTCGTAAGCGGGTGGAGCAGACGACCCTGAAATCCCAGACGGTGGCTCGGAACCGGAGCGGCGTCACAAATGTGAGGGGCACCTGCGGGCCTTGGGGACTCCCCGTGACAGCCTTTTCCTTCCTGCCTGGGACTAGTGGCCACGGGCCATCGGGCCCCTGACCTTCCGCCCTGACTGTTTACCCCGAGCAGCCTTGGTCCTGCCTCACCCCTCTCCGGGCTCTTTCTGAAAATCAGATTCGCAGGCTGGTGTCATGTTGCTGGGGCTGCGGGGGTGCCCTGCTGTGCAGTGAAGGGGCCACACTTCTGGTCTGTGGTGGAGGCGGCGCTTGGAAAAGGAACTGCAAGTGTGATGAAGTGCGGTGGGAACAGTGATGGCCAGGGACCTGACCTGATCTGGGCATCAGGGAGGACTTTCCTGAGGAAGTGACATTTAAGCCAAGGCTCAAAGGATGAAGAGGAAAGGGCCTTCCAGGAGGAGAGGAGGGCATGTGTGGAGAGAGCAGGGTGTGTTCAAGAAAAGGAGGAGTCTTACCTGAGCTGGGTGGGGGAGACAGCGAGGGAAGGGTGGCCGGAGGATGCTGGAGAAGTGAGTGATAGTGAGGCCATGTGGGCCTTTGTCCTGGGGGCTGGGGATCCCTGCAGCATTTCTGGAGCAGGGATATAAGACTGCCTTTGTCAAAGATAGCCGTGGACACTGGGACGATGTTGATGGGAGAGGCAGGAATGGAGGTGGAGAGGCCGCCTGGTGCTGTGGTTGGTAGGGGTGGGGACTGGGGTGGAGAGGGAATGATTTGAGAGACCTCAGAGAAAGGAAGGGTAGGTCTTGTGCTGGTCAAGTTATGCTGAGTGTTGGAATGTCAGGCTTCTAGCAGACTTAACGTGATTCTGAGAAGCTGCTTATTGCTAAAAGGTATATTATTCCTTAAAGCCTACTTCTTTCATACCTGGAGCTTTGACTTATTCCTCAAAAATTTTCACTGTCCTCCAACAATGGAAAAATTCTTCTCTGTAACTCCCAGCAAGCTAGAGACAGATACTGTAGCAGTTCTACTCCCCACTTGCCCTGCTGGTGCAATGACCTATCAGGGCTTTGTTTCCTGGAGACCAGCCATCTTTCCTCCCAGGGAGGACTGGGAAGTTCTGGCTGATCCCTTGGTTCCACCTGCCCATGGCAGAGCTGGGTGCGTCAGGAGGTGCCAAACGCTTGGCTCAGTGACCCGTAGCTGCCTGAGTTGGTGGTCGTCCTACTGGGCTGTTGATGTTCTGTCTGCCTGGAAAGACGGGGACCTGGCTTCTATCATTCCTCTCTCTACAATAATTGGTGGCTGAGAACCGATTTTAGGTTTGGACCTGGTCCTGGTGGTAGAGAACCGAACCACAGGCTCCATCGCTAGGCCTCTGGGTCCACGGGCTGGGCAGTTTGCGTTAAAGCTGACTGACTGACGCTGCCCAAGTAACAGCAGGCTTGCCTTCCTGAGCCGTTGTTTCTTCTTCTGTACATTGGGCACCCTCATTTCTGCCCTGTCTGGCTTTAAATTGCCAGGAGGGTGAACTGAGGTCATTGCTGTGCAGATTCTTGGAAAGCAGTGGGCACCCTCTGAGGCCTGGGCCTGGGGTTCTAGAGCCAGCCTGGGTCCAAGTCCAATGCCACCACTTAATACGAGACGTCTGATGAGTGGCCTAGTGTTTCTGAACCTGTTTCCTCATCTTGAAACTAATGTGGAAAGAATCTTCTAGGCTGTTTTGGGCATTAAACAGGAAGCTTGTAGGGCTTTGTCTTGCCCATGAAACCCTCTTGGTAAATGTTAGTGATATGTGTGTCTTAGTGTGTGCACATGTACACATGTGTATGTGTATAGATGTGTATAGACAATGGAAAAGGATGTTTCAAGTTCTCAAAACCCTGGGCTTCCAGGACAGCATTATACTCTGACCTTACAGGGATGTGCCCGTGACCTTCATATAGGTAACCCCAGGCACTGGAACTTTTATAAAACTCCCAAGGGATCCTGATGGGTCCTCTGCTCTATTATGTAAGTTTTTAGTGAGATCATCTCTTCATTCATCTCCCACTTTTTCTTATGAAGATTTTGAAATATTCAGAAAAGTTGAAAGACGAGTACAGCACACACCCTCATACTTTCCACCTAAATTCACCAGTTGTTAACCTTTTGCCGTGTTTGTGTGTGTTATCACATAGAGAGTAAACTGTGCAGATGTCCTGACCCCTTACCCCTCAGTCCTTCAGCAGGCCTCCCCTGAGAATCAGGACATCCTCCTCACCATTGTAACATCTGCCAATATTACCCATAAATCATAATAACAGCGCACATCCAATCCTGGTTTGGGTGTCCTCTAGTTGTATCAAGAATTTTTTTTTTTTTTTTTTTTGCTACCCTGTATGGCTTGTGGGATCTTAGTTCCTTGACCAGGAATTGAACCTGAGTCCACAGCAGTGAGAGTAAGGAGTCTTATCCACTGGACCACCAGGAATTCCCTGTGCCAAGAATGTTTTTGTCGTTTTAAATCCTAACCAGCACCAAGTTAGGGTTTATGCATTGCACTGGAATGTTGAGTTTCTTTAGTCACTTCAGCTGGAGCAGGCCTCCACTCCCCCCACCCCCCACAGCATTTGACTTCTTCAAGAATCTTTACCAGTTGTCTATTGTTGACATACTTTGAGTTTTTTTTTTTTTTTTAATTGAACTATAACTTACACACAAGAAAAGCACAAACTTTAGGTATACAACTAGATGAACATTTTCTCATGTATAAACCTACGTTAACTGCCGGCCAGATCAGGACATGGAACACTTCCATCATCCAGAAAGTTCTTTCCCGCCCCTCCCCAGACAGTACCCCTTCTCTCAGAGGTAAGTACCATTCTGACTTTTATCACTAAATTATTAGATTTCAGTCCCTCTGGCTTGTGGAATGTTGCCCATTGTGGATTCATCTGCTCGTTCCCAGTGGCACTGGACACATCCCTCTCTGCCCTGGGTTGCCCCTGAAATGGAAGTTAAGTTTCAGCTCGCTGTCTGTCATGCTTCCCACCTTCTTACCAGGCCCCTGCCCTTGTCCCCTAGATGAGCTCCCCACAGAAGAACCCAGCGCCCTCCATGAACGAGTACGTGGTGCTGCCCAATGGCTGTGAGGCCCACTGGGAGGTGGTAGAGCGGATCCTGTTCATCTACGCCAAGCTCAACCCCGGCATCGCTTACGTGCAGGGCATGAACGAGATCGTGGGACCCCTCTACTACACCTTTGCCACCGACCCCAGCAGCGAGTGGAGAGGTAAACAGGTGGGCTCCTGGCCGCTCACGTTCGTTCTTGCTGCCTCCTGGAGAAACGGACCAAGGAAAGCTGGACTGATGGGCTTTATCAAGCTCTTGTGCTGCTCACTTCTCTGTTTTGGGGTCTCCATTCTCTCTGTGTTGGATAAGGGGGTTGGCCTGAATCACGTCTGAGATCTTTTCTGGCTTGAACTTTCTAGAATGTTACATATTTACTGATCTCTTTAAAATGTATATATATATATATATATACACATATATATATATTTGACTGTACCAGGTCTTAGTTGCAGCATGTGGATCTTTTAGTTGTGGCATGTGGGATCTAGTTCCCTGAACAGGGATCGAACCTGGACCCGCTGCATTGGGAACCTGGAGTCTTAACCACCGGACCACCAGGGAAGCGCCTCCCCCGGTTTACTGATCTCTTCATATTTGTAACCGAATTTCTGATAGAGGAGATGAGATCTATAGACAGGAAGCTGAAAGAAAGAATTTAAATAAATAATGATTTTTAAAACGTCAGCAGAAGAACATGTAGTCAACTGCAGAGTCAGTGTAGTGTTGTCGGAGTTGTGAGGAAAAGAGATTGGTATTCCCTGGTGGTCCAGTGACTGGGACTCGTTCCTTTCACTGAGGAGGGTGCTCGCTAAGATCCTGCAAACTGTTTGGCATGGCCAAATAAAAACTATGTCTGGTCTGGGGCTGGAGAGTGGTGGGTGGAGAGTGGTGACAGACAGAGGAGGTACGGAGGGACGCAGCCTGACCAGGGCGGGGTGACTTGGTGGAGGCTCAGAGCTGAGGGTGAGCTCTCACTTAGTTGAGAGGTGGGGTATGTTGCGAGCAAGCCCGTCCTCTTGCGGCTGCCCTGACCTTGCCTGTCTCTCCCAGAGCATGCTGAGGCAGATACCTTTTTCTGCTTCACCAACCTCATGGCTGAGATCCGGGACAACTTCATCAAGAGCCTTGACGACTCACAGTGTGGCATCACCTACAAGATGGAAAAGGTGTACTCCACCCTGAAGGATAAGGATGTGGAACTCTACCTGAAACTGGTGAGGACCCCCAGGGCCACACAGGTTAGGGCAGACAGAAAGGGGTAGAGGACAGCAGGCTCCTGAGCACCCCAGCCAGGCCCAGGGTGGGGACTGGCCTGAGTCTGAGGATTAGAAGTTACTGCTGCTGCCAGGGGGCCATGACCCAGGTGCTGAGGTGGGGCGGGGAGGTGGGGCAGCTGGTGGTTGGAGCCTGGCAGGCTGAGGATGAGGGGAGGTGGGTATGGTGCCCTGTGTGCCAGGCATGGTGCAGGATGTCTACTGTATGCTTTGAGTTCAGCCTATTAGAGTCCTCCTGGAAAGGAAGTGTGAACTTCATTTAAAAAAATTATTAGAGGGACTTCCCTGGTGGTTCAGTGGCTAAGACTGTGCTCCCAGTGCAAGGGACACAGGTTCAATCCCTGGTCAAGGAACTAGATTCCACATACTGCACCTAAGACCCAGGCAGCGCACCCCCCCAAAAAAAAAATTATTGGGAGTGGCATTTCATGTTTGTTTCAGGGAACTCTGCAGTAAGAAGAGTATTTATTTATAAACAGGAACAGTTTTGTGAACAAGAAAATATACATAAATATATCTTTTTAACCAAGTATGGAATTATAGCTTATTGTTTTGTAACAGGCTTTTCAGTCAGTAGTATCCACTGTGGCCGACCAGAGGGCTCGTTTCCATTGGGAATAATTGCCTTGTGCGGTGGTTGTATGGACTAAATAAATGAAATATTAACGTATTACGCACAAGGCCAGGCTTGCAGTAAGTGCCCAATAATGGTTTCTCTGTCCATAAATCCATAGTGACAGTCGGTGTAGCGTTTTAAAAGAATTTGAGCCATCATTTATAAATCTAAAGTCCTCATATAAAAAAGTCTTGGTTTTTGGCTTCCCTCAAAAAAAATCAGATGATCTGACAGCTTGGCTGGCAGCAAGCAGCAGTCATCCCTTTGACGGAGCGAGGCTCTCTGGGCGGCCCGGTGCCATCCCGCCTTGGCGTGTCTGGAGCTCACGCAGGGCCTGCCGCTTAATCTGAATTCATGCCTGCTGGACTGCATGGTGGTTCGTGGCCACTAGCCAACACACATTCTCGCAGCCACCCCACACCTCTGTCTCCCCAGCAAGAGCAGAACATCAAGCCCCAGTTCTTCGCCTTCCGCTGGCTTACCCTGCTGCTGTCCCAGGAGTTCGTGCTGCCTGACGTCATCCGGATCTGGGACTCCCTCTTTGCCGACAGTAACCGCTTTGACTTCCTCCTCCTGGTCTGCTGCGCCATGCTTATGTGAGTGTGGCCATGGGGGTATGTGTGTGGGGGGGAGGGCGGGCGGGCAGGGGCTGCTGTCAAGAAGCTGGACTGAGCCTCTGGGATTCTCAGGGGAGCATCAGTCCAAACTTGCTGGAGTGGTGCGGCAGGGGTAGGAGGAGGCCCGGTGGGCTTGCTCTCAGACTAGTCAAGGGGCCCAGCGCTTTCTGTTGCTTGTTTTTCCTAGACTGATTCGGGAGCAGTTGCTGGAAGGGGACTTTACTGTAAACATGCGACTCCTGCAGGTAATGGAGTTCAGGGGGACCGGCTCAGTCTTTATTTATTTATTTATTTTATTTATTTTTTTTTTAAATTTTTTTTTCGGGCTCAGTCTTTAGCCATGAGGCAGACACTTAACTGGCGGCCACCCTATGCCAGCCGCTGTGACAGGCTGCCTCGGGATCAGGAAGAGGTAGCAGGGCTTAAGAGTCCAGACCCCCGAGGCAGATCTGGGTTTGGATATAGGTTGAATCCGGTTTGGCCACTGACCTTGAGTGTGATGTGGCCAGTGACTTGGTTTTTCTGAGCCACGCACTCTGCATAGGTAAGTCATAGCTGAGAAACAGCCTTATTACCCAGTATGTGGTAATAATGCCCATTGGTAATGGCGGTCGGCCTGGGGAAGAAACGTGGGGACCTTAGTGGTTTAGAACATGGGCTCAGGAATCAATTTTGGCTTTACATCTTTGTTTTCCTGTTCTAGTCATGTCACCTAAGTCCAATGGCAACCTCTCTGAGCCTTAATTGCTTTGCCAACACCTGGCCTGGGGTTGGTATTCAGTAACTTCACTGACTCGATCTGTAAAACAGGCAAATTCGCATAACCCCTCACGGGGCTATTGAGGTGACCCAGTGAATGAATGTACAGACAGTGTCCGGCCCTGGTCCAGGCTCGTGCATGGAGCTCAGGGCTCGATGGCAGGAAGTGGGGGGAGGTGAGGCAGGTAGTCCCAGTCCTGGGGAAGGGGCTGAGACCTTTTGGGGTGACTGGCTGGGTTGGTTAAGTCAGTGCTGCAGTGGGTGTAGCAATAACTCCCTGCAGAGTTTGGACAGATGGGGGGTGTCTGGTATCCTGTGGGCCCTGGCCTTTAGCCCGGGGTCCAGCTGGGTGCCAGGTCCACTGCAAAGGTGCAGGGCAGGCTGACTTCAGAGGCGTACTACTGTTGGCCTTTTCCCCACACAGGATTACCCCATCACAGACGTCTGCCAGGTCCTTCAGAAAGCCAAGGAACTCCAAGACTCACAGTAGCCTGGTGGCAAAAGGCCCATGTGTGGAAGAGAAGCCCCCGCCGACCCCGGTGCCCTGGCTTCTGGGACATGCAGAAGCCTGTGGGGTCCCAGCCAGAGGGGCCGATGCCGGACTGGCCTGCTCCAGGCCTTGTCCTGGCCTCCCGTCAGGGGCCTGCTGTGCCCCGCTCTCTCCTAACCACCAAGCCCGGGCTCCTCCCCACTTTTCAGCCCTGGACCCTCTGCCCAGGCCATGAGCAAGGCAGGGGCTCGCGAGGTGGTTTTCCGGGGCTGGGGCAGACTGCAGGCCCCTCCCTGCCTCTGCTCTGCCCCTCCCTTCCTGCCCTCCTGCTCCATCTTCTGGGCTCTGGTCAGGGAGGTGCTCAGCAAACGAGCCAGAAACTGCTTCTTCTGGAGGTTGGTGCTTCCTGGGCTTCTCCATGGGGAAGGTGACACTGTGAAGGAGCTGAGAGGCTGCCAGGCCCAGGTCACACCTTCTGTCCCTTTCCCACTGAGTGTATGTGTGTATGTGTGTGTGCTTGTGGGTTGCTGTGTATGTCTTATCCCCCGGCGTGAGCTGCTCCTCCAGTCTGTGTGTGTGTCCCTGTGTATGGGGGGAGGTGACCTCCCTCTCGTCTGTTTCTTTGTCTTGTCACCTCTCTGCCTCCGTCTCCCTTTCTCTCCCTCCAGCTCTTTCATGGAATGTGTGGCTCTCACCTGTCCGCCGCTGTCTCCATTGCTGTCCGTTTGCCCTTCTCTCTTGGGTTGCCTTATCCCCAGCCCCTCCCCTCCCCTCTCCTCAATGTTGACTCAGAACCCTGGAAACAGAATGAAGAGTCTGGCTCAGCAGAGTTCTTGGAGGCCAGCCTTGGCCTTTGCAGCCTGCTCCCATCCCCCAGCGCTGGGCGCCCAGGGCTCCCAGTCCACAGTGCCTCACTCGAGGGCCCTGAACCCGTGCCCCACCACGGAATTCTTGGAAACCCCTAGCTGCTGAGAACAGTTGGCCTGTGAAGAGCCAGCGCCCTCCTGCCTAGGGAGGGAGGAGAGGGAGAGCTGAGTCTTCTAGAGGTTTCCTCAGAGGTCCTCTCCCAAAGGAAAAAAAGCATTAAGGTTGGGATCCAGGTGCTCCAGAGGTGTAGTCGTTCCCATGGTTTCCAGGTGCCGGCCCAGGGCAGGCAAGTCCCTTTAAGGGCAAGTGGGACCAAAGGGAGCCTCTTGGGGGCGGGCAGGGCTGAGCTCAAAGGCCTGAGTCCTGTCCAGGCCTGGAGTGCCGTGTCTCCCCATCTCAGGTGAGCTGAAGGCGGTGCTGGCCCTTCTCTGGTCTTGTGCTCTGACTGGGATCTGAGGCAGGTGCATCTGCAGTAGAACAGCTGGCTCCTCCCACCCTGGGCCTGTTCTGACCAGGACGCTCCCTCCTGCAAGGAGGCAGGGGGTTTGCATCTGGAAGGCTGGATAATTAGCTCGGGTCCTCTTCGTCTCCCCAGACCATCCAGCAGGGCCCCCCAAAGTCTCCCTGAGTCTGACAGCCAGGACTTGCGGCTGAGGGCTGGGAACAGCTTCCCCCAGGGCAGCTCCTGCCAGGCTGTCCCGTGGATGCTTCACTTGCCTTTTTCCTCCTCCTCTCCCAGCACAGTATTTGGGAGATTTTACTATTTATTCAGACTCCTGGTTATTTATTGCAGATTGGCAAGTGCTTGTTTTGGGGATGAAGGGTAGGGCTCGGAAAGTGGAAACATGGTCTTCCTGGCCTTTCAGGGCCACCAGCATCCTCTTTCCCCCTGCCTCTGGGACCTTCCTGGTTTTCCAGGAGATCCTGGCTGGGAGGGCTCTGAGCTCTGTAATCCAGCTGAGTGTAAGGGGAACTGGTGTGTAAAGACCCTGGCATGGGGCAGAAACACTGCTTGCTAGCAGCCTGGTCACCCTCTTGCCAGAACTTGTAGACTGGTGGTTCACTCCCAGCCTGATCCCTTCGGAGCCTGAGTCTTGGGCCACAGCCTGGGACCTAGCAGACACTGCCCAGTACCCGGATGCATTCTCTCCTGCCTGTCCCTCTGTCCTCCCTCCTGGACCGCACTACTTGAATCACTGCATCTGATTCGCCTCATTGGCAGCCCTGGGTCCAGTGCCCTCTCCTTGGCCTTGTGAGAAAGGTCAGAAGAGCACAGGGACCATACCCAGGTTAGATGGAGCTCCCCCAGTGGGAGGACCTGCCCTTGGCAATTGCCCCTGCCCCACCCCAGACTCTCAAGGGAGGCCCCAAGAGCCAGAGACTCCCAGGCTTCCTACTTGGAAGCTCCCCCAGGACTTCGGACATGTACAGAATGAGCTGAATGAATTCAGCGGGTCTCACTCCAAGGGTCAGAATGTTAGTCTGCTTTTGTTTTTTCATCTGTTTTGTTCTTTGAATCAGTGCTGTTGATGACAAGTTGTCTTTAATAAATCATGTGTTCTTTGCAGTAGATGTTGGTTCTGTGATGGGCTGAAACCTTTGAGACCTCAGAGCAGGAAAAAAAATGAGCAAAGTCAGGAGCTTCTTAAGAGTGGTTAAAGGAAAAGGCTAGGAAATTGTCCAAAGAGTCTGTTCAACTCTTCTTATGCAACTGCAGTTTGCAGCTGTTGGGAGGAGAGTATGCAGTGGGGCAGAGGTATTACATTGTGATTTCAAAGTAAGTTCTTTGAAAAAAAGTTGAACTTCAGCAAGTCATATAGCCCACCATCTGCAGAAAATCACTTGTGTTGGTCTTTTCTTTGCAGATGTAATTTTCATTAGATAATTGATACAATGATAATCATTTTCTTGATGCAGTTTTGTGTATTGTCTCTCCCTCCCTCCCTGCCCCCCCCCCATTACCTTAGGTGGTGAGCAAACTAATGTGTGACTTAAAAATATTTTTACGACCTATAATTCTGATGTGCTAAAAATGTCCAAAACCAGTCCGTTTCTGAGTATCTTAGTTATTCCCTGGCCTCTATCATAAGTAATACGGTAGGGAATCCATGCATTCCTGATTTGTTTTCCCAGTTAAGTCCTGTAAATTGGAAGGTAAGGACTTTTTTTTTTTAGGGATCTTAGTTGCGGAGTGGGAGGGAACCTCCGTGGAGATCAAGGGAGCCGAAACGGGGCGGAGCCGGTTCCGAGACGGCCAATCATGAGTCGCGGTGGTGATGCCACGCCCGCCCCTTCCCGCAACTCCTCGTCCTAAAGGGGCAAAAAAAGAGCATCCGGTCTTCCAGTTAGGTGGGCACAGACCCCCCAGCTGTTGGACTGGACAGTACGTCGGAGCGTTCGTGAGTGGAAGGGACCGACGTTCCGCCGTCTCACGCTTCCGCTCCGCTCCATACCCGCGCTGGGCCCCCGCAGGCCTGTGCGGCCCCTTTAAGAGCCTCCGGGTCGGACGCCTGAGGTCGCGGCGTCCCTTCAGCGCCGCGGGCCGGCCCTCCCTCCGCGCCCCGGCCACCATCCGCGGCCATGCAGTTTCTTCGGGCTGGCTTGACTCTGGCCCTGGGCGCAGGGTTGGGTGCAGCTGCCGAGGGCTGGCGGCGGCAGTGGGCAGACGCGCGAGCGACGCCGGGGCTGCTGAGCCGGCTGCCGGTGCTGCCAGTGGCGGCGGCGGCGGGTCTTCCCGCGGTGCCCGGGGCTCCCGCGGGTGGCGGTCCGGGCGAGTTGGCCAAGTACGGGCTGCCCGGGGTGGCGCAGCTCAAGAGCCGCGCATCGTACGTGCTGTGTTACGACCCGCGCACCCGCGGTGCGCTCTGGGTGGTCGAGCAGCTGCGGCCCGAGGGGCTCCGCGGCGACGGCGACCGCCACTCCTGCGACTTCCACGAGGACGACTCGGTGCACGCGTACCACCGCGCCACCAACGCCGACTACCGCGGCAGCGGCTTCGATCGCGGCCACCTCGCCGCCGCCGCCAACCACCGCTGGAGCCAGAAGGCAATGGACGACACCTTCTACCTCAGCAACGTCGCTCCCCAGGTAGCGCCTGCGCCGCCCCCCGCCACCACCCGCTCCCCCGACCCCGGCGGCGGTAAGCGAGGCTAGCGCTCGCCTCCTAGCCTCGATTTTCCCCTTTGCAGAATGGGAGAGTTGCCGAGTGTGCGCCCTCTAGGTCAGGAGCCTGGCCAAACGCACCGCGCGCCGACGGCGAGAGGGATGGAGCGGTGGGGCGCTGAGTACACACTGTGCTCTGATCTTAACCCCAGGGCTCCCGAGCGCCTCCCTGAAATCAGGATGAAACTGTTATTCACCTGCCTCTTGCGCCGAGGAACTGAAGATGACTGTCCACATCCATAAAAGTACCAGGCATGCTTCCTGGTTCTTGGCAAGCATTTAGTAAATAAGAGCTATAATGAGGGAAGTCTCAGCGAGACAGTGACCGACCCAGGGTCACACCGCGGGAGGAGACCTAGGCAGTCTGTCTAGGGACCCTGAGCTTTTTTTAATCCATTGTCCTACCCTGCCTGAGTTCCCGGAGTAAAAGGATAGATAGGTGCCCACAGTGGCTGTTAGGAGCAGTCACTGTGCACCCTGGACTAGCCGTCCTTCCTCTAGCGCTGTTCCCACCAGGGCCTGACACCCACGTGGAGATGGATGGTGGGGCTCTGAGTGAGACTTGTGAGGTCCCAGCCTCTGACCTGACTGGTGCTCACTCAGGAGCAGAGACCCCCACCCATTTGACTGGACACTGTGCCAAGGACCTGAGAGCTCAGGTGGTGGAGTCAGATTTCTGACCTTCCCTGCTGGGCTCTGCAGTTCAGACTTTAGGAGAAGGAAGGGAGAGATGGTTGAAAGAGATGGTCTTCCCATGAGCTTCTGGGGCAGGAGCAAACCTGTTTCTCTCTGGGAGGTTTGCCCCTTCATACGGCTCTTTGGGGCTGAGAAACAGCTTGGAGACCTGGGATGCTAGCTCTCCCAATCTAGGTCAGGGGCAGCTAGCACCCTTGTGAGCTCTGTCTGGGCTAAGTGACTCTCCTTCCATGAACCTCACTTTCCTCTGCATGCTTGTCTTCACCCCCACCCCGCTGTGGGAACCTTCTGGCTCTGTGCCTGCCCCTAGGCCTGGGGCAGCCCTCTGACTGCAAGTGTCCCAGTCAGTCTCACTGAAGCCCACCTCTCCTGCCAGGTGCCCCACCTCAACCAGAACGCCTGGAACAACCTGGAAAAGTACAGCCGCAGCCTGACCCGCACCTACCAAAATGTCTACGTCTGCACGGGGCCACTCTTCCTGCCCAGGTAAGGCTAGAGCTGGGGGGGCCTGGGGACAGCAGCACCTCCAGTCATCCCAACCAGGCTCCCCCCAGGCTGTGTCAACACTGCCAGGTCCCATTCATCTGGTTTCTGGGCAAGTCTGTCCATTCCTTGAGCCCCCAATTCTACTCTGCAGAGACCTTTGGGGTACTCACATCTCTGTCCGTGTGTACCAGGCCCTGAATCTGCCCTTGTTCCTCTATGTCATCACTTGTCACATCCACCTAACTCATGTTCTGCCCAGATAGAAACCATCGCACGGGGTTCTCACCTTCAGTCTCCTCTGCCGGGGGCTTCCTTCCCCTTTGAAGCTTTGAACTGTCTTCCTGACCCTGAGCCTTCACTCTTGTCCCTGTGCAGCTCACGCGGCCTCCCAGATGGAAGGGACTGAGCTCCCCTGGGCTCGCTGGGTGACTTTTCTGCTGAGGATTGGGATAAGTGAGGCACGGGACTGTGGCCAAGCAGCCGGCTCTGCTGGGGTCGGAACCCAGGCCGTCACCTGTCTCTGGGTTTGATGTTTAGTCGCTCAGTTGTGTCTGACTCTTTTGTGATCTCATGGACAGAGGAGCCTGGCGGGCTACAGTAGCCACAGTAGCCCACCAGGCTCCTCTGTCCATGGGATTTCCCAAGCAAGAATACTGGGAAATTGCCATTCCCTTCTCCAGGGGATCTTCCTGACCAAGGGATCTAACCCACATTATCTTGCACTGGCAGGCGAGTTCTTTACCACTGAGCCATCAGCGAAGCCTCAGTCTCTGGGTGCCCTGGGCAAATGACCTCAACATCCTCTCCTGTAAAATGGGGATAATACCAGTTATCTATGACATGGTTATTTAAGGGACAGTGGGATAGTGGATGTCACCGTAGTAAGGACTCAGCACAGGCTTACCGAGGCACTGATACACTTTAATTAGCCAGTGCCTCCTCTGGCCTGCTGAAATGGAATGGACTGCTCAGAGACTTAGCCAGTCACCCGTCCAGTGTTCTGGGCATCTGCTTCGCCCCAGGCTGTTGTGCTGGTGCTGGGCATTCTGCTATCACAGCCCCACCCTCCACAGGGAGAGACCGACAGTAGTCAAGTGTCCACAAGGAGGATGTGAATGAAGGCCCGATTCTTTCTGCAGCATTTATTGCCACCACCCACTCTCCCTGAACACGGTGTCGGGCATGAGGAAAACAGGGGAGGAATGAGTCTCTACCCTGCTGGGGCTCCCAGTCTCCTGGGCAAGCCAAGCCGGGCAGAGAAGCCTCACGCTGAGAGGGTGGTCCTGCAGGTGACACAAACTGGAGGTCCAATCAGGGAAGGCTGCCTGGAGGTGGTGGCCTTGGGTCTGAACAAGCCCCCTGGGAGTCCTGAAAGGCCATGTGCCTGGGTCTGCTCACAGGACAGAGGCTGATGGGAAGTCCTACGTGAAGTACCAAGTCATTGGCAAGAACCATGTGGCGGTGCCCACCCACTTCTTCAAGGTTCTGATCCTGGAGGCGGCAGGCGGGCAGATAGAACTCCGCTCCTATGTGATGCCCAATGCACCGGTGGATGAGGCGATCCCGCTGGAGCGCTTCCTGGTGCCCATCGAGAGCATTGAGCGGGCCTCAGGACTGCTCTTCGTGCCAAACATCCTGGCACGGGCGGGCAGCTTGAAGGCCATCACTGCGGGCAGCAAGTAAGGGCAGCCCCAGCTGGACTGTGGGCTTGGGGGACTGAATCAACTTAAAAGTGTTTATTTTTAGAAGCAAGTCTCCAGTGTGTCTGTCCAGGTAACCCGTGGGATCCTCTGGCTTCATTGCTGCTTTTCTGCCATCCTGGGCCCCACAGAACCTTCAGCTGGGCCGGGCACCTGCCTGGGTAAGGCCAGGCTGCAGGGCAGCCAGGGAGATGAGGATGGCCTCCTGGAAGAGAAGCACAGCAACAGGCTATGGCCCCACCGCCCAGGACCCCGGCCCGTGGGCTGTGCTGCCATCAGCAGGGTCCGGGGGGTATGGGGAGGCACTGCCCAGGACCCCGGCCCGTGGGGTATGCTGCCATCAGCAGGCTCCGGGGGGTGTGGGGAGGCACCGCCCAGGACCCCGGCCCGTGGGGTATGCTGCCATCAGCAGCGTCCGGGGCGGGGGTGGTGAGGAGGTGGGGAGACAGGTTCAGCTTCGTCCTACTGTCACTGGCCACCTGCAGGCCCTGCCAGGAAAGGGCCTCACCTCTCTGCTCCTCAGTCT